ACCACCACCACCACCACCACCACTTCTACTACCACTACCACTACCACTACCACTACCACTACCACTACCACTACCACTACCACTACCACTACCACTACCACTACCATTACCACTACCACTACCACTACCACTACCACTACCAATACTACTACCACTACTATTGTGGTAGTTCTAGTGGCAGTGGTAGTGGTAGTCTCCGTGGTAGAAGTAAACTGGTATTATACAGTAGGTTATTAGAGAATTATAATTTTAAATTGCTTTCTGTTCCTTTTGTTTCAGAACTAAAGGCCTCCATTTCATTTGCTTGAAAGAAAACGAGGACTGACCCCTTGTGCCACATTAAAACAAGTTTAAAAAAATTTGGTCTCCTGTTGGGCAACTAAGTGACAATCATAATTATATGGGTTTTTGTAAATTTTCGAAGTTGTTAAGAAGTTAGTAAATTAGTAAATTGTTGGTCTCTCTATTCATACGAATCGAATTCATTACACTGATGGCTTATCACAAAGACATCCAATTTTAGGCATAACGACTTTTAAAACATGCTCTGGACTATTATACGTGTTGCGGTTACTGAACGTTTTAACTGCACACTACGTGTAAAGTAATAGTAAGAGACCTTAAAAACAAATATATGTGGGACGATTGCCTCTTAACCGTAGGAAATAAACGAACAAAATAGAACAAAACAGTGTATCTTATTGTAAGGTCGACCCTATAACTGGACCACTTTTGTGGCTACCTCTAGACCGCGATCAGTCTCTTATTTTTCTTTACAAAGTTACTCGTCTCCACGAGCAACTAAAGAGAGCGTCAGCCCGAGAACAAAAGATGAGAGACTGCTGTCTTTTTTCGTCTCTTCCTAATTCCTTATTGTGACGTCGTTATTTACCTAGTCGCGCTCGCTGGGATAACAACTGGATGGATTTTAAGAGAAAAGGCGCACCGCAAGCAGTCTAGTCTACCTCTACAGTATATAGCCTTGTAGAGAATGGACTTTTACGTTATTACCTTTTTTGTCATCCACACTAGTACTTACAGTATCTGTGAATTTTCTTTTTATAATAGGAGACTGAAATATAGGCAAAATTTGTAGTTCTTTCTTTTTTTATTTATTTTATTTTGTTTATTTCTTTATTAAGTTATATTTAGATATTACAAAATATAGTTTCCTCTTTTTCATATTACTAGATCATAACATTACTCTTTACTGCGCATCCATCTATATTCCTGCGACTACCCAGGAACTCTGTATTGGGATTTAGAACTTTATTTTTTTACTCTTCTCGTCGTTCGATTTCGTTTCTTTCTCGGGCTTTTCATATCCGATTAGTTTCGTGTCCTCTGAACTGAAAACCTGGGAATCCCGGATACAGCGCATGCGTCCAAGAAACCTAATAAAACATAAAAGAAAACCTTTGAGGATGGAAATTGAAAGGGCAGGGAGGGGAGTCTGCGCAAGCATCTCATCTAAAGGATCAGAAAATTCCATTCTTGAAAGAAAGGATGAAAGTACAGCAGGTTTACTTGGCTAGAAATTAGTTGCAGCTCAATTAAAACCATCAAATACAAAACTTTCGTTCAGAAACTTGAAAATGGCACAGATTCCCCGATTACAGAAAAAGCTTTATGAACATTACATAGGGTGATCGTCAAGAGAGGTTGCATGACGTTCGCTAATGGGAGATTAGGGATCTTACAAAACTATGACGGGGAAGGCGACGGGGACGTTTATATCATAGATTATGTGAGCAAAGCAGCAACTCTGCGCGTGCATCAGGCATTTTTGTAAATTTCTTTGCCGTCCGCCGCTGCACAACTACGATGTAAAATGACCAAATTTTAGGTCGACTGGAGAAGGCACACGGCAAAGTAGTTTACATTTTCCTATCTCTCTATAAGGCTCGGAGGTGTTCACCTCTCTTCCAATATCCTAACTTTCAAGTAACTGGGTGATTTGGAATAACAGCCAAGAAGTTTGAAAAATCTACTTTCTAGTCGGACGGCTCCATTGGCGTCGCCGTTGTCGAATCGTAGGGTCCCTATCAAAAAAAGAAATTAAAGCCGCCAGATTGAAAAGGCACATGATCAGACGCCAGAGAAAGTTCTTACCCAACAGTCTTGCAAACCAGCCCCTTTTTGCAGATATTGGACAAGTCTTGATCACTTCTCCTGAACAGATTAAACATGCTTTGAATTGCATTTCCACAAACTGAACCCTCCTCTAACTTGGCCATACAGACACGGGTGAAGCGGCTGATATCAGCTTGTTCTTGGCAGCTGAGTTCCTCATTGGAGTGACATTCACTATNGATCACTTCTCCTGAACAGATTAAACATGCTTTGAATTGCATTTCCACAAACTGAACCCTCCTCTAACTTGGCCATACAGACACGGGTGAAGCGGCTGATATCAGCTTGTTCTTGGCAGCTGAGTTCCTCATTGGAGTGACATTCACTATCGGAGTCACAGAAAGTACCTACAGAAAACAGCAAAGAAAGTCAATTGATAGACAAACACCTCCTATCTGCAATAATAAATAAGCCTGCGTAGCAAGCGTTTCCAATTGAGTCATTGCGCAAAAGTTAGAGCGGGAGCAAAAAAAAGACGTTCTCGACAAACTCGCGCGGAAACGCTTGCTACCCAGGCTAATAATAAATAAATATTAAGTATTGTTAACATATTCTTGTTGAAATTCGTGAATAATATTAATAACTAGAGGTATCATTGATTACGGATCAGCGCTCGTCACTCACGGAAACGAAATCGAGCTGAAAGGAGTTCAGTTTCCCGGCCGAGATGCCCTTGATAAAATCAATAGGGGCGGCTAATCGGCAGTCACCCGTGATACCTCAAAAATTTCTGGCTTTGTACCACAGGGACACCAAGATTGGGATGCGTTCTGACGAGCGAGATAACAATAATAATTCCATTATTTACCCTCGGCAGTACTTATAGCACTAATGCTTGTGAGGCCAAGCAAGTGCCTGAAACAAATAACTTAAATCAAACATAGCAGGGTTAAAAATCCCAACTGGCTGGAGGCAAACAAGCTGGCTATTTACAAGCGTGGTCGAGGATTTGAACTCGGGACTACCGTCAAGATCCAGCTAGCGGTCAGGGCGGGACTTGAACTCGGGACCTCCGAATTGCAAGTCCAGTGCTCTAACCGCTCGGCCACGATGCCTCGTATTCATATATATATATTATATTTACTTTAGATAAGTTTCTTTTATTCATGAAAAACTTGAAACTGGTTTTCACAAGAAGATAACAACCAACCAACACACCCAAAACTGATATCACAGCCTGGTAGTGATAATGACCTTGCCTGAGTTTACATGATCGCGTCATTGGTCATGGGTCGTGAGATTTTAAGCTGTTTCAATTAATATTCTTTTTTCCCTTTTAAAGGGAAAGGAAGAAGAGCCCAGGCCAGCTTTGCTGTCCTAGAGGCCGGGATTAACACGCCCAGCGTTTCACATGTGGTGGGAGTTGGATTATTAAAAAAAAAATCGAGAGAGTGTTACATTGTCACGATACTGACCTACATTCTGTGAACTTGCCGAAAAGGCAGGAACACGGTTTCATGGAATAATGACAAACCTGCACTTCCCTCCTCAGAATTTGCTATGCAGCGACCCCAGGTACATCTGTATTTGCCCCCTTTGCTGTCACATTGGTCTCTCTGAGTGCAAGCTTCTCC